GATCACTGGGCAAGGGTTTGGGTTTCATCCCTGGCCTTGTGGTCACGGCGCCTGCAGGAAGCAGCCGGTCCATTTGTCTCTCCCACAGTGACGTTTCTCTCTCTCCCTGCCTCCTCTCTCCCTTGCACTCTTTCTAAAAACCAGTGGGGAAAATATCCTCGGACGAGGGTTAGAAACAAGCGTCCTGGCTCTAACACTCGAGGGGGTGGTTGTGCTCACAGTGGGCTCACTCTGCACCAGGCACTGCCCTCCGCTGGTGGGGAGGGCGGGCGGACAGACGGGCGGACACAGCCCCACCCTCCCCTGGATACCCACCTCACGGCGCAGGGACCCCCCCAGTCCCTGCCCGCCCCGTGCCTCGGTGTCCTCCCCCTCAGGGTGCAGCTGGCCAGTCTGCCTGGCCAGGGAGAGGTGAGGATGCGGAGAGCGAGCCGGACGCCGGGTGGTGGCAGGGCCGCTGGCGTCGCTCCCGAATGGCCCAGCGCACGCACATTGGGGCGGAAGCTCCCGGAGAGCTGGCCGCCAGCGAGCGCCCGGAGGACAGACTCCAAAGGCTCCTTTTATCCATGTGTGTGTGTAACACGTAACGGACATGCTCCCTGCTAATGCGCCCGGGCTCCAGGCTGGGTGCTGGGTGCTGGGGCCTCGCTGGTGAACGGGAGGCAGCCCCTCCCCCCTGTGCCCAGCGCCGTGGCACCGAGGCTGCTGTGCAGAGAGAGGCGGGTCTGTGTTTGGTGAGGGGGTCAGGGGGAGCCCTGTGGTGGGTGAGACACCTCCTACTTCAGCTGGTGCCGCCCTGACCTCCGGGCCTCCGGACGTGGCCTTCTGCGGGGAGAGGACCTTCCCGGAGGTGACCTCAGCGGGGGACCCGGTCAAGGGCACTGGAATGGACCCAGGCGTGCACACGGGGAAGATGGGGGCAGAGATTGGGGTGATGTGTCTACTAAGAGAGGCTCAGCAGAGATGCCAGCAGGGTGGGCAGAGGCCCGGGCAGGTCCCCCTCACATCCTCCCTGACCTCAGACCTGAGAGAGGGCGCACCCTGTGCTCTGAGCACTTTGCTCCGGGGCCCCAGGACACTGACACAGCCTCCCGGAGCACCGGGCGTGGTGGGGTATACGCTGGGTGTGTGGCGAGCTGCCGCAGCCGGCCCCCCATCCTGTCCTTAGCTACGGACGCTCTGAGCTGGACTCCTGCGCGCTCGCTGCTTCTTCAAGATCGAGGGGGGTCGTTGGCTCAGGAAGGGGGTCGTTGGCTCAGGAAAGGGGTCATTGGCTCCAGGGGGGGGTGTCATCTGCTCCAGGAAGTAGGCTCAGACTCTTCCCAGAATCCCAAGTAGAAGTCATCAGGAAGAGCCGGCAGGGAGGCTGAAGCAGCAATTAGGAGAGGATGGTTCTGATTAAGCCCGAAACACCCATGGTGGTGAAGGATGGAAACTGTGAAAGGCAATCTATATGCAAACGCTCCCCGTGTTCCCGCCGCACAGGCTGCACCTGTCATCTGCAGCAAAGACCTCCTTCCCCATCCTTCCTCACGGCCACGCCGGCCGGCTCCCGTGCCACCGCCACGCAGGCCGAGGCCACGGAGGTCTCCAGAGCCTCGTCCAAGACAGAGCCATGCCCAGGGCTATTGCCGGTCAGGAGTGAGCTAAGTGCTCATGGACAACTGTTTCACTGAGGCTCCGGGGAAGCGAAGACGGGCACTGGCTGGCAAACAGGCGTGAACGCAGGAGTATGTGCCGTCGGCGAGGGCGGTGTGCGCAGGATCCCGTGACGGAGGCGTGTGCGCGGGCCTCCTCGACGGGTTGTCTTAGTTTGGGTTTCCCGAGAAGCAGGCCTGAGAGTGGGGTCCACATGCGAGCAGTTTGTGTAGGGGGGACCCCAGCTACCCGGCAGGGAGGGCCGGTGGGAGGGAAGGCGGGGGGCGGGGGGAGCGGGGTTACAGAGTGAGTTACTGCCAGGGCACCTGCGGACTCTGGGAGCCATCCTCTGTGTCAGGGATGTGAAGCCGTGGTCCTCCCAGGCCATCCGTCCCAGGCGAGGTGGCCCCAGGGGCGTCAGCTCTGGGCGTCTCCCCCCTGAGGGGGCAGAAAGAGTCCGGCACCGGGACAACCCAGGGGAGAGGTGGGCGCTGCACTGGAGCCTGAGGAGGAGGCTGAGTTTCTGTTGCTGGAGCCTCTGGTCCCTGGAGCTCTGTTACCCGGCCCGAGGCAGGGGCCGCGCTGGGCGAGAGGAGGCCGGGTGTCTGAGCAGCCCCCTTAGACACGTGCAGCTGAGGAATGTCAGGTCACGCATGTTCCCTCAGACACGTGCAGCTGAGGAATGTCAGCGTCAGGCATGTTCTCTCAGACACGTGCAGCTGAGGAATGTCAGGGTCAGGCATGTTCCCTCAGACACGTGCAGCTGAGGAATGTCAGGGTCAGGCATGTTCCCTCAGACACGTGCAGCTGAGGAATGTCAGCGTCAGGCATGTTCCCTCAGACACGTGCAGCTGAGGAATGTCAGGGTCACGCATGTTCCCTCAGACACGTGCAGCTGAAGAATGTTAGGGTCATGCCCCCTTAGACACGTGCAGCTGAGGAATGTTAGGGTCCCGCATGCCCGCTCAGACACGTGTTCGACGCCCTGCTTCTCGCAGATGTCACCTTTCTCAGCGTCCACATTGGCTGCCGTCCTGGGTTACCAGCACGACGTTCTGTCTGCATCGGGCCGTGATTTCCCGAATGCAGAGGGCCGTGGTGTTTGCAGAGAAGAGGCAGAGTGAGGAGAAAGCCCAGGGGTTTGGGGTTTTATGAAGCACATCCATCAACCTGAACACAGAGCCGTGTGCAGTGTGGCTGAGAGGGGGGTGGCTCGGCCCGGCACACGGCGGTGTCTGCTGTGCTGGGCACATGGGAGGTCCGTGCGGAGCCGTGGTCCCGCCGTGGCCCCCGCCAGCCTGGAGGGCGGCTCCAGCTGAACTGTGGGTGTGGGCCTGGTGACCCCAGAACTTTGGGGGAGGCTGTGTGTGGGGCCAGGTCAGGCCTGTGAGCAGGATGCCTTGGGGCTGCGGGGCAGCTGTTACCCAAGAATTCCCTGTGGCGGGAGGGAGTGGGGCCCTCGGGGTGCTGCTGGAATAAGCGTTTCCGGAGCCCCACGGGCGGTGCAACGTGGTGGAAGCTTTATTTGTGTGGCATCACGGCCCTGGTTCCCAGTCCCGGGCCCTGGGTCCGTTCCAGAAGAAGCGGAGCGGGGGATGCGGGACTGCTGGAGCCACGCCAGTGTCCGAGTGTCCGTGAGAGCTGGTCCCGTCCAGCATCAGGCTCCTTCCCGCCCAGGGTCCAGCATGTGTGCGGTCGGCCTGGCCACGGCCGCGCAGGACAATGCCAGGGAGCCAAGGGAGAGCCATGAGCCCCTGTTGCCAAGGGAAACCACGAGCATAGGGAAACGAGTGTCTTTGGTTAGGGCTGTGGCCGGCAAACCGCGGCTCCGGAGTGCATGCAGCTCTCTGGCCCTTTGAGTGTGGCTCTTCCACAAAATCCCACGGCCTGGGCGAATCTATTTTGAAGAAGTGGCGTTAGAAGAAGTTTAAGTTCAAAAAATTTGACTCTCAAAAGAAATTTCAATCGTTGTGCTGTTGCTATAATATTTGGCTCTGTGACTAATGAGTTTGACAACCACTGGTTTAGGGGATTATAGATCCCACTTCCTGCCCACTGGGGTGGCCATGCCCATTCCGGCCATCATCTCAGTCCCCAGGAGTGACTGGCAGACAGCGTCTTCCCTGTGTGGTGCCCTCCCCCAGGGCTTGGCAGGGAAGGTACCTGCCTAGGATGCCTGGCCTTCGCTTTGCTCCTCTCCTGCTCTGAGGAACCAGCGGCCACACCTGCTGGCCCTCGGTGCTGGGCTCAGTGTAGACCGTACACGCAGCCCGCGTGCCTGGGGGTCTGTGGCCTTTGCGTGTCTTGCCTGGTGAGGGTGGAAGTCCCCTTCCTCGATGGGTCACGGGGAAGAGACTGCGTGGGTCCGGAGAGAGGAGTCCAGGTGAGCTCCGGGCTTGGAGCCTGTGAGGTCAGATGAAAGGGGAGCCACTCCTCCTGGGTCCTGCTCTGGGCCAGGAGGCAGCTGGGAGCCACCAGGAGGCGCTGTGAGGTGGGCAGGGCTCAGGGGGCATAGCCTGGAGACCAGAGAAGCCTCCGAAAGCTATGGTGTCGGTGAGGGCGGGAGCTGCTGTGCCCTGTGCCCGTGAGAAGAGGAAGGTTAGAGTGCGGGCTGGAAGGGCTGCAGGGGCGGTGGTTGGGAGGGAGAGGTGGTATGGGTGCAAACAGAGTGGGAAGTGAGAGGGTGCCCGGCCATGGACGCCAGGAGGTGCTCCAGAAAGGAGCAAGACTGAGAGAGGGAAGCCAGGTGTCTGTTGGGTGAGGCGTGGCCACGTGTTGCTGCACTTAGGGACATGACTGGGAGCTGGGCGGGTGTGGGGAGCTGGACGGAGCGGGAAGGGGACCCTCAGGAACCGTACGTGAGGGGAGGCACCAGACAGGGCCATGCCAGAAGGAGAGCGTGGGCACAGTGTTCCCACCTGCCCGTGCCCTGCTGCCAGGTCTGAGGCCGGCATCCACGTCAGAGGGCCAGGACGTGGCCATAGCCAGCAGGGGTTCAGAGTGTCCATGCAGGAGGCAGGGCTGGCTAAGCTGGCGCTGAGTGCCAGGGGCACGAGGGGGTGGAAGGCCCCCGGCGAAGGGCACAGAGAACTTGGTGATGCGAGTGTCCCAGTTCTCTGCTGTCCCTTCCCCTCCACACCCCCTGGGGGCGCTCACAGCTGGGTGGATGCATGGGAGGCGGATGGAATATGCGAGAGGTGTCCCTATGGGCGGGTGCTGCCAGGAGAAGGTAACGCAGTGGGAACGGGAAGCCACTTGGGCCACACGGCTGGGCTCATAGTAAGAACGTTCAAGGACGAATCCGAGGTTTGGCCAGTCTGACTTGTTCCTTTCTCTCTCCCCCACCCCATTCTCTTTTGCAGTCAACTTTGACCATTTTCAGATCCTGCGGGCCATCGGCAAAGGGAGCTTTGGAAAGGTAAGAAAGATGGTTCTTTTTATTTATTTTTTTACAGAAAGGAAAGGAAAGGGATAGAGAGCTAGAAACATCAGTGAGAGAGAAACATCCATCAGCTGCCTCTTGCACACCCCTTACTGGGGATGTGCCCGCAACCAATGTATATGCCCTTGACCGGAATCGAACCTGGGACCTTTCAGTCCACAGGCCGATGCTCTATCCACTGAGCCAAACTGGTTTGAACTGGATTTCTGTTTCTTGAGAAAATGCCCTTTGCTCCGTGGCTCGCTCTGGTGTCCACAGGAGAAGCCAGGTGCCTGCAGAGTGGGCGGTCTCTGGCTCCTGTCCTGTTGGCCTCCCCTCCTGTCCAGGCACCGGGTTGTCCGGATGGCTGCAGGCTCATAGCAAATCTTAAACCAGGTCTGCTGCACTGGCCAGTGGGCCCTCGGAAGGTTCGGGGCCACCTGGAAGGACGTGTCGGGAGCGGCCTCGCCAGCCCTCACAGCACACGTGGCTGAGCAGGATCAGCCTCCGCCATCAGACTGCCAGGCTCTGAGCGGTCGGGACTGGTCCTTACGGTCCGCCCGCCCCATCGGCACTGGCTCCGGGCTCAGCGTGTGGCGGAGGCTCGGTCACCGCTGCCTGGGCAGTGAGGAGGGGGAGAGGAGGAGGAGACGGCCCTGTCTGCAGAGCAGCCCCAATGGCATCAGCACAGAGTAGATCATGTGCTCTCAGTGCCAGCCCGGGAGGCCCTGTGTCTGGCTGCTGCCTGCTTCTCAGACAACCCCCCCCCCCAGCCCCCGTCTTCCTGCTTGGCCCTCTCCAGCTCTTCTTCCTGACTCCCGGCACGCCGGACCAATCGCTGACTCAGGGCCTTTGCACGTGCTATGCCCTCCAGCCCTTCCAGTCCCCCCGGCACTGTCTCCTGGCCCCCCTGATGCTGGGCCAGCGGAGAGAGTCCGCTCCGAGTGAACTTGGACGGAACCTGGCCCACCGCCCTTCCAGCGAGGGAGGAGGAGACCTTGGAGAGACCGTTCGGAGACCTTTGAGTCAGCAGCAGCCGCTCTGCTTCAAGAGCCGGCAGGCGGGAGCCTACCAAAGGGAGTTAATTAAAATTCATGGAATCGCCGAGGCAGAGTGTGCACATGGTGGCAGAAAGCAGCACGGAGGAATAGGATGAGAGTCCTTTCCGCCCCTCGCAGGGAGGCCCGGCGCAGCTGGGCAGGGACTGCACATTGGTGATGCCGGCCACGCCGCCTGGCGAGGCGTGGTGATCGTTTCCCACCGCGAACATATCATTAGCCGTCTCACTCCGCACGCCAGGCTTCTACCTCTGCAAGCCAATGTCTGGGAGAAAGCAATAGCTGATTCATAGCAGATGAACGAGGTTAGGGCCCAGACGGCAGCAAACCCGCTGGGGAATTAAGCAGGAGTTCGATGTTACACATGCACTTATCAGTTTGAATGTTCAGAAATGTTTTTTTTTTATATATATATATTTTTATGGATTTCAGAGAAGAAGGGAGAGAGAGAGAGAGAGAGAGAAACATCAATGAGGAGAGAGAATCATGGACCGGCTGCCTCCTGCAGGCCCCCGACTGGGGATTGAGCCTGCAACCCTGGCAGGTGCCCCAACCGGAAATGGAACCATGACCTCCTGGTTCCTAGGTCTACGCTCAACCACTGAGCCACACCAGCTGAATGTTCAGAAACATTTGACTTGGCTATTCCCTGCCCCCCTCCCCCTTAAAAATAGTCTTTTGGAATCGTTTTGATCTTTTAAGTTGCTGGCCTTCGTGGTAACGGTGGCGCTCGGAAAACGCCCAGCAGGAATTGGAGGTGGACAGCACACGTTCACAGCCGCTGCCCAGCACTGTTCGAGGTGACCAACAGCTGGGCAAGATTCGTGATGCCACAGAGCTGACAGTTCCCAAGGTGGACTCGCGGACATGCAAACAAGGAGCCAACACAGCATTTCAGCAGCCATCATTGCTCTGTGGGGGAGTGTGGTGCAATAGCCTGGGAGGGCAAGGCTGCTTTCTTTGATCATGTGACCATCTGGGGGAAGAACACCACAGACAAAAGGGGCAGCAGGTGCAAAGGCCCTGTGGCAGGGGCAGAGTCAGTCATGAGGCAGGGGAGCAGGGCACAAATTGGGGGACAGGGGCAGGGGCGGCGGAAGCGTGTGTGGTCCCTGTCTGCTGAGCAGGGACGCAGAGTCTGTGATTGCTTTTCGGAGAGTGACGAGCTAATCGGTCTGTAGCATGCGGGACTGAGAGCCTCAGCTCCAGTCTGTCAGAGCTGAGCTGGAACGCTGGCCCCAGCTGGGGGCTCTGCCATGGGGCCTCGCTCCTCGGAGCCTGAAAGGGAGCTGGTACTTCACGCAGGAGCCCTGATTAGAATTCCGAAGCACGATGCTCGCTCCGGAAGCCCTGGCTGTGCGCGCAGACATATTTCCCAGCGGGCGGCTTCCGCTCCTGGTGAGGAGAGGTCTGCTTGTTTGCTACTAATTGGGCTGTGTGGGCTTGAGGCGCCCCGCGGAGGGGTTTGCTGGCTCTGGGCTCACTGTGTGGAGAGCTAAGTATCGCCGGGAGGGCAGGCTCGCTCCTGAATGAGTGGCTTTCCAGCCGTGGCCGGAGCGGCTGGCCCCTCGCGGACCGATGTGACGGCCTCCATCACTCAAGTGCGTTTCCGTCATCTTCCCGTCACCAGTCCCGTTCCCTCCGCTGGGCGAGCCTTCCAGCCTTTTCCCTGCTCGGAGCGCTCCAACCTCGCTTCACCCCGATGACACGATCCCATCACCGAGGGCGTCAGGAGCACCGGCTGGTCCTGGCCCCTGGCCCCTGGCCTCCGGCCCACACTTCCCTGGTGCTTCCTGATTCTGTGTGTTCCTCTGTTATCCAGAGGGGATCAGTGGGTATGTGAGCATGGCCTTCATTTATTTATAAAACACACGGTACCCCTCTTCCATCTGCCACCAGAAAGAACTTCCTTCCGCCACAGATCTCAGATGTGAGCAGCCTGCTGAGTGCCTGCAAGAGCGTGGTCCGCGGGGGCTGCGCTTCCTTGCGCTCAGAGCGGACACTGGCTTTATTCAGAGCGTCTCATGGGGACAGTGATGGGGGACACTGCTCAGCGGCTGGGCCTGCAGGAGGGGGCTCCGTCCACGGGCGCTGCTGGTACTGCCGCTGCCGCGTCTGTGCTCCCCAGCAGCGTAGCCTGGGTTTGGGGTTCCCAGGAGCAGGCTCCGGGGCCAGGATGTTACCCAGGCACCGGAGCGGAGGAGAGTGAAGGTGGCCGCGGTGCCCCGTGAGTCAGGGAAGGGCGGCAGGAAGACTTACAGTGAGGGCGCCATCGGCCAGGGACTCTGTGGGAAAACTCAGTCTCGGGTGTTACAGAAAACCAAAGAAGAACTAATCAATACATTTATTACGCGGGGGTTCAGAGGAAAATGTCTCTCAGGTTCTGGGCCCCAACATGCAGGAATTTTCTCTATTTATATGCTTTTACCTTCTTTGTCTCCCAAATATGGGGTATTTCCTGCCCGTTTTGCAAGTCCTTAAAGAGCCCGAGTGTGCTGGGGCCTTGAGACCTCAACCAGGGGCCTGGCCTGGCGCCAGCACTGATGACCTTGTCTGGGGAAGGTTTAATGGCCTCTCTGAGATGGGAGCAGTCTTAGCAAGCAAGAATTTACAGAAGTCAAATAGCAGGGTTAACATTTCAAACAGCAGTTTTCATATAAGATAGATGCTTCACGGGAACCCAGGCTGGTCCCGGCCCAGGGGTGAGCGGCCTGGGGTGTAGGTGCCCAGCTCCCAGCTCGGCTCAGGGGTCGCTCCTTTGGCCTTAACCCTCCGGCGTTGCTGGCAGAGGGTCCTCCGCAAAGGAAGCTGGCGCTGGCGCCGGCAGGTGGCAGGGGTGCTGGGTGGGGAGGCCCGGACCTCGCAGGTGCAGACACCGAGCCTTTGTCTGCCTCCTCCGGGCGGTAAGCTCCTCCGGGCAGGGTCGCCCCTTCCCTCCCGCATCACGGCTGCTCTCCCGGTGCTCACCTGCCGAGCCTGAGCTTAGCTATTCCGTGGCGGGTGAACCTGGCACAGCCCTCCCCTCTGCGGCTGCCGCGCTGCCAGCAGGACAGACTGGAACCCCGAGCCGGGGCAGACCTGCAGGGCGGGCGGCTGCGCCCCCGGGCCTGACTGTCGCTCTGCCCCGCCAGGTGTGCATTGTGCAGAAGCGGGACACGAAGCGGATGTACGCCATGAAGTACATGAACAAGCAGCAGTGCGTGCAGCGGGACGAGGTGCGCAACGTGCTCCGCGAGCTGCAGATCATGCAGGGCCTGGAGCACCCCTTCCTGGTCAACCTGTGGTGAGTGCTGCACCCCAAACCCCTTCCTGTCAGCCTGTGTGAGTGCTCCATGCACCCCCAAACCCCATTCCTGGTCACCTGTGGTGAGTGCCCCATGCACCCCCAAACCCTTTCCTGGTCAACCTGTGGTGAGTGCCCTGAACCCCCAAACCCCTTCCTGGTCAACCTGTGGTGAGTGCCCTGCACCTCCAAACCCCTTCCTGGTCAGCCTGTGGCTAGTGCTCTGTACCCCCAAACCTCCTCCTGGTCAGTCTGTGGCGAGTGCCCCCTATACCCCCAAATCCCTTCCTGGTCAGCCTGTGGCGAGTGCCCTGTACCCCCAAATCTCCTCCTGGTCAGCCTGTGGCGAGTGCCCCCAGCACCCCAACAGCCCTTCCTGTCAGCCTGTGGTGAATGCCCCGTACCTGAACCCCCTGATGGAGCTGAATGCCCATGCACCCCGAAGCCCTTACGGAGCCGGCTGTAAGGAGAAAGGAATGAGCCTTTCTGGTAATTCTGGTCATGCTTTCCAATGGATGGTTTGTGAACTACATTCCCGATGAAATCCATGAGCGCATGCCTAATTTAATGTTAATTCCGTCTTCTTACTGATGAGCCGGGGTGAGAATGGATCTAGAGGTGTGTGTCCCTCTGAGGACCGTGAATGCGATGGAGGATGTCAACACCAGTCTCCTGGGGACTTGAACTTTGCAAAGCTGGTGAGAAGGGCTCGGATGGCTGCCCAGGGTGGACACCCTGAATTCCAAATTCTCAGTGCAGCCCACCAGGCCCGCCGGGACCCATGTTCTGGAACCTTCTTTCCATCCCATCCCTAGTTATTATCTCTGCTTTAAATATGCTTCCAAGAAATGCCCACCTGTCTCGGTGCCTGTGCAGGTGACACTTCCTCTTCCCGGCACCCGCCTCCCCTGGCTGCCCGGTTCCTCTAAGCCAGTCCTGGGCGTGCCTCGTGGCCAGCTCATGAGGACAGGACTCTCTCTCACTGCCGGCATAGAAAGAGTTCCAATCCAGGGTTCGGGTTCTGGAGAAGAGCCGCGCACAAATGAAGAGACTTGAGACTTGAAATTCAATTTGGCGATATGGGGGGCCAGGCGGTAGTCCAGCTCTAGTGGGAGAACTACTCCCTGCTCTGGCCCTGCCATCCCTTTTCTCGAGGCTTTGGGGAAAACATCTTAGGCAACATAAACAGGAATTTACATGTAGCCCTTAGACAGGAAATAACAGACACTTACACGGGACAAACAAGGTGGAGGCTGCTTCAGCTAACAATATCTCAACTAAAGGTTAGAGCAATGAAGGTTGTTGGCCAGCCTTCCTGGCTTCCTGTCAACATCTCCTTTTTAGTGAAACTGATTTGTTTTCCAGCACAGGAGGGCCTCGGGACAGGAGCTTCAAAGCAAGACCTGAATCTAGGCCCCTGCTTCTGGGAGTCTGACAGGGTCCTGAACACTGGGGGCTGATTCAGTGCCCAAGCTGGGCTCCTGCAGGCTACCTCCCTCCCGTCCTCTTCCCCCTTTCCCTCCCCCTCCCCCAGCTGGAGGAGAGCACCGTGAGGAATTGCCTGTCGGCTCTATGATAATGGGGTGCGGTTCTGCATCTCGCAGGGAGCAGGTGATTCATGGCAGCCCGGAGAGCCTGGCGCAGCCCTTCTGCTCCGTCGTTCTCACCAACTCGCTCTGTAGCTGGCACAGGCGGAGGCCAGGCATGGCTGGTCTCAGGACAACCTTTTCTGTCTCTAAAGAATGAGGGACGGTTGCTCCCACGGCTGGGACAGCCCAGGCTGTGTTCTCAGAGCAATGTCTCACCTGTCCTGAGGCAGAGCTGCTTTGTACTCTCAGGCTATGACATCCAGGGGGAGGGAGGAAGGGAAGGAAGCAATAGGACCTTGTGCTGGGGTGCGAGGAGGTCGGGGGGGGGGGCCCTGGAGAGGAGGGGAAGGGTGAGGGGGGCGGTTCGGCACTTGGCTAGGGGTCTGATTTCCATGCTTATAATCCCAGCTCTGCCCCCTGCAGGCCGAGAGGCTGCTATGTGCTGATCGGTGTACCCGCCCCCATTCCTATGTTGAAGCCCTAACCCCCCAATGTGACTGTGTCAAGGGGTGAGTCTCCAGGTAGTTAGTAAGGTTCACTAAAGGTAACTGCCACAGGGATGCTGTAAAGCCCCAAGGAGGTGATCCATAGCAGGTGCCCAAGGATCCCGGGCATGAGGTGATCACGGCACCGGGGACCTCCTGGGGTTGCTGTCCTGAGCACATGTCCTTCCAGCTGGCCTCGGCTGGACACCTTGCTGACTCATCCTCTCTCAGCAGGGGCATGAGTAGCACTGACTCTGCAGGATGAGGCCTGAGTGTTCGGTACCAGGTATTTATCCTGGTTAAATGGTAGTGCGTAGGTAGCTCACTTGTGTTTTCAGACTTGTTTCCAGAATCCATTTCTACTTCCTGATTGGTTATATTTACTAGACTAGCTGTTAAAATGTTTTGTTTAAAATAGGGCATGTGGAGAAACCAAGATGACAGCAGAGGTAAAGACACCTAAACTGCTGCCTCGCACAACAATTTCAAAACTACAACTAAAAGACAAAACGGACATCATCCAGAACCACAGGAAGGCTGGCTGAGTGGAAATTCTACAACTAGAAGGAAAGAGAAAAGCACACTGAGACTCAGAGGAGCTGCAGGAGGCAGAGGTACTGAGATGTGCACTCGCAGAAAGGACTGGCAACTGAGTGTGCGGCTGGCTTTCTCAAGCGGGAGGGAGACAAAAACTCCCAACGGCGCTCAACTGCAGTTCCGGGCAAGACTCTGGGGACCCAGACTCATTCGGGGAGAAACTGGACTGTCTGGCAGCTGGCAGAACTTGAGGGTGGCTTTCTCTCAGAGGTGCTTGCAGCTATTACCCCAGGACACTGAGACACAGGGGCTGATTAGGGCAGGGCTGATGGGAAACCAATGCTGTCTTCTCTGCCCTGAGACTCCGTCGCATCCAAGCTAAGCACAGAGGCTTATGCAAATCTTGTCTCATAAAGATATTTCCAGCACAGAAGTTCTCCTAGCATAGATACAGCTGATCCTCACAGCCAATTGGCCTGGGGGTCAATTCCTTCCAGTGATACCAACAACAATCAAGGCTTAACTACAACAAGACTGTGCACATAGTCCACAAAGGAGTGCACCAAGAGTGTCCACCGCAGGGAACTGAGGAGGCTGAGCCACTGGGCCCTATAGCACACAAAGCCACTCTATCAACACAGGGAAGCAGCTAAAATACAGAGACAAAGAAACAGGACACAAATAAATGGAGGAAAGCAAACAACTGGATATAGAGTTCAAAACCACAGTTATAAAGTTTTTCAAGAATTTTTTAGAAAAGGCTGATAAATTTAGTGAGAACCTTGTGGATATGAAAAAGGACCAACTAGAAATTAAGCATACAATGATTGAAATAAAAAATATTGTACAGAGATCTAATAGCAGACTAGAGGATTGCAAGAATCAAGTCAAAGATTTGAAATACAAAGGAGCAAAAAACACTCAACTGCAAAAGAAAAAAGAATCCAAAAATATGAAGATAGTGTAAGAAACCTCTGGGACAACTTCAAGCGTACCAACATCCAAATTATGGGGGTGCCAGAAGAAGAGAGAGAGCAAGATACTGAAAACCTATTTGAAGAAATAATGACCGAAAACTGCCCCCCTCCCCCCCCATTAAAGAAATAGACTTACAAATCCAGGAAGTGCAGTCCAGAGAACCCCAAACAAAAGGAATCCAAAGAGGACCACACCAAGACATATCATAATTAAAATGCCAAGAGCAAAAGACAAAGAGAGAATATTAAAAGCAGCAAAAGAAAAACAGTTACCTACAAGGGAGCACCCATACGACTGTCACCTGATTTCTCAACAGAAACTACGCAGGCCAGATGGGAGTGGCAAGAAATATTCAAAGTGATGAATAGCAAGAATCTACAACCAAGATTACTCTACCCAGAAAATTGAAGGGCAGATGAAGAATTTCACAGATGAGAAAAAGCTAAAGGAATTTATCATACCAAACCAGTATTATATGAAATGCTGAAAGAGGAGGAAGAAGAAAAAGGTAAAGATAAAAATTATGAACAACAAATACATATCTATCAACAAGTGAATCTAAAAATCAAGTGAATAAAAAAAATCTGATGAACAGAATAAACTGGTGAATATAATAGAATCAGGGGCATAGAAAGGGAGTAGACTGATAATTGGGGGGGGGGGGGAAAGGGGTGTGGAGGGTACAGGAAGAGACTGGACAAAAATCGTACACCTATGGATGAGAACAGTGGAGAGGGGGTAAGGGCAGAGGGTGGAGTGAGAACCGGGTAGAGGGGAGCTATGAAGGAAAAAAGAAGAACAATTGTAATCTGAACAATAAATATTTATTAAATTAAAAAATAAAATAATAAAATAAAATAGGGCATGTGCCTGCCTGCCTGGCGTGACTCAGTGGTTGAATGTCAACCTATTAACCAGGAGTTCATGGTTCCATTTCCAGTCAGGACTTATGCCTGGATTTCAGATTCCACCCCCAGTGGAGTTTGCAGGAGGCAGCCGATCAATGATTCTCTCATCATGGATGTTTCTATCTCCCCCTTTCCCTCTGAAATCAATAAAAAAAAAGTTTTTAAAAATTGGGCATGTGCCTGCTCTGCCCACCTTATTGCTGAAGCAATGGTGGGAGTGGATACCTGGCAGGATTGGGTGAGAACAGATGCTGGAATCAGATTAGACAGTTCTCATAGCCAGTGTATCTTTCTAGAATCTTCCCTGAGTAGCGATGGATTGAGACAGGACACAGAGTGTTATGTGCCACTCCAGGCCCAGGCAGAACCGCTTAAATTAGTGGCTATTTTATTAAGGCATCGAGACCTTGCCTAAAGGTTTAAAGGTGCAGCTGGGCTGGGCGGCTGGGAGCAGGAGGGGGCAGGACAGAGTCCGCAGCCCCGGATCCTTCAAAAATAACCGC